ATTGCACATCTATTTATAAAGATAGTGAAGAGGATGTGGTTCGAGAAAGTGTCGAAGTCATGTGGAAAATCAGAAACATGGATGTCAGTTGGAAGGAAACCTATAGAAGAGGAAAAGAAGCAGTTGAGATAGGAATGAATAAGCTCAGTCAGTCAGAAATAGGCAATGGGTTGACCCATTGTTTAGCTAATGGTTCCTGAGAAAGAGATAGAAATGGGCTGTTTGGGTGTCATTGAGTTTGGAGGCAGTGGGGAGAAGAAAGGAAGAGAACAGATATTTTAAAAAGGAAAAAAAGTAAGTTAAGGGAGTGTTGATGAGTGAGAATGGGGAGTTAATCGTGGCACGGTGGCTCAGTGGTTAGCACTACTGCCTCACTGTGCCAGGGTCCTGGGTTCGATGCCACCCTCGGGTGACTGTCTGTGTGGTGTTTGCTCCCCGTGTCTGTGTGGTGTTTGCTCCCCGTGTCTGCATGGGTTTTGTCTGGGTGCTCCGGTTTCCTCCCACAAACCAAAGATGTGTAGGTTAGGTGGATTGGCCATGCTAAATTGCCTGTAGTGTTGAGGGATGCGTAGATTAGGTGAGTTATAGGGGAGATGGGTCTGGGTGGGATGTTCTGAGAGTTGGTGGGACTTGTTACACACTATAGTGATTCTATGACAGGGTGCATGAAATTAATAAATGTTTTGTTTTGGTCTTCACTACAAAGGATACAAAAAAACATTCGAGTAATAGCAGTAATCAGGAGAGGCCAAGGAGAGAGGAATCTGGTTAAAATGCAATCACTAAGGAAGTGGTACACAGCAAATGATAGAGTTGCAGGCTGACAGGTCTCCAGGCCCTGACAGATTTCATCCTCGGGTCTTAAAATAAGCAGGAAATCATGTTGTGAAAAGGAAATGAGAAAGTTGCAGACCGATATAGATAGGTCAACTGAGTGGGCAAATCTGGCAGATGGAATATAATGTGGGCAAATACTAAGTTGTTCACTTTGGAAGGAAGAGCAAAAATGCTGATTATGGCTTAATCAGAGAATTACTGCAGCCTTTGAGATGCAGGGTATCGTAGGGGTTCTGGGGCATGCGTCACAAAGTTAGCATGCTGGTACAGCATGCAATCAAGAAGGCCATTGAGACACCAGTGTTTAATAGAAGATGAATTGAACATAAAAGTAAGGATGCTATATTTCAATTGTACAGGCACTGGGGAGACTGTGGCAGAATTTTCTGCTGCCTTAAGCAACGTGAGTGATGGCAAGAAAGTGGTGTCAGTTAGACTGGAATGAAATGTCAGTAGGAAAAACTGTAACTTAGCAACAGAGTATGTTCAAAATGAGATGGTTTGGGTTCATTCTCTGAAAAGGAAAAAGTAGGGACAAATGGATCCAACAAGTCCACACCCAACCCTCTGAAAAGCATCCACCCCCAGACCAATCCCCTTATCCTATCCCCGTAACCCTGCACTTCTGTGGAAGGGTCACCAGACCCGAAACGTTAACTCTGACTTTTCTTCATAGATGCTGCCAGACCTGCTGAGCTTTTCCAGCAATTTCTTTTTTTGTTCCTGTAACCCTGCATTTCTCCATATCTAATGTACCTAACCTACACATCCCCTGAACACTATGGGCAATTTAGCATGGCCAATCCACCTAATTTGCACATCCTTGTACTGTGGGAAGAAACCGGAGCACCCAACAGAAAGCTACGCAGACACGGGGAGAATGTGCAAACTTCACACACACAGTTACTTGAGGGTAGAATTGAACCTGGGTCCCTGGTGCTGTGAGGCAACAGTGCTAACCACTGAGCCACTGTGCCCTCAATCTCCTCATCAAGAAAAGTGTTTCTGATTTTCCCCTATGAGTTTTAAATTACAGGTTCGGAATCTTGCCATTGAATCGCATCTACCTTATTTCCACGCTTTGTAGCTTACTATTAACCTTACTGAGGTTGATGCTATTTTCTTCAGAGCACAGTTGTTCATATCCATCCCCCATAAGGAAGAGAGTCGGCTAGCTTGGACAGAGTACAAGTTCATCAACAGTAAAGGCTTCCATTCCATTAATTCTCAGCTTATCTGTGACTATCGATGCTGGATTTGAGGCCATACCAGATATCCTGGGTGTTGTCATTGTATACGAACTAAGTAACTCATAGGTTCCTGTCTTCTTCTTCAGGCCATACATGGATGGATGCTGGCAGAAAAGGGCTAACCTCTCCAAACATAGCTCATGGCACCTTTATGGAACTGTCAGACAGACACAGAATAAAGACTGCTGCTCATCCTTCCACCAGGATTATGATGGAATAGACCAAAAGTCTCCTTAAGACGAAGTTTTGATGCCTCGACCATTCTGGCACAGCCTTTTGGTATAGTCCAGAAATGAGGTGCCCCATCATTGTGCTTTCACAAATGGTAGAAATAAAGGGAGAACTTCCTGGATACAGAAGAACTCAGGGATCAACAGTAATCTTCTTAGGAAGAAGAAGAATATGAGGATCAGGACATTGACCAGGAGGGACCTCTAAGAGTGCATGATAGGGCAATGCATTGCTAATGTGAGAAGCTATAGAGAACCTAACTGATGCCTTCTTCCAGGACGAATAAGCTGGGTGTAGGCTTTGTTTCATTGTGTAATTTTATGTTGTTTGTATGCAGGGGGTTAGTTAGCTCAGTTGGCTAGATAGCTGGTTTATGATGCAACAACACGCACTCAATTCCTGTACCATCTAAGGTTACTGTGAAGATCACACCTTCTCAAACTTGCCCCTCAGGTCAAATTCACCACCAGCTGTCTCGCTCTCTCTCTAAGGATGGTGAGTCAAATGGTTTACTTCTGCTCCAAATTCGAATACAGTTATATGTTCATAAAATCCTTAGAGGATATGATGATTCTTGTCATATGGCTTGGTGTTTGACAGCCAGATTATGGAACAGAGAGGCCTCCAGGCGCATCTTCTGTCATGGCTCAGTTTCAAGTTTTGTTTTATAATACTTTTACAGAAGCACCTGTACTACATTAAAGGTGTTATATCAAAATTGTCATTTGTAAAGGAGGAAAACTGTATTAGAACCAATCAATGCTCACTTTTACACTTCTCTCAGGAACATTGCTTGATCCAAATAGAAACACTTTATCTGCTGCGGCCTTGCACCATTATCCCTTTTCACACAGAATCACCGGGGCCTTTAACTCTATCAAGGCCTTTCGCATTTTTTAATTCGATGTCCTCCTTTTTCATTGGTTCTGCATTTGTTGATAAAAAAGCTTCACTTTCAGCATCTTCCATTTTGTTGAAAGGACATTGACCTGTAACATTAACTTTGTTTCTCTCACATACTTGCTGCCTGACCAGCTCAGCGTTCTGTTTTCATTTTAAAAATTCAAGAAGTTTGAAGAGAGTGAGGCAGAAATAATTTACTGGGGAATAAAATGACTGCAAACAGTTTGGACGTGATTAGTTTCTTTTCAAAAGAGAGGAAGGGTTAAAGGTTATGAAAAGATGAGAAGGTGAAAGGTGAATGCTCATTTTTAAAAATTCGTTCATTAGAATTGGGTATTGCTAATCAGGCCAATATTTGATGTTCACCCCTAGCTGCCCTGGAGAAATTAGTATTGAGCTGCCTTCTTTAATTGCTGCAGTTCTTGGGATGTAGAGCCACCCATTGTGCTGTTGGGGAAGGAGTTCAAGGATTTTGACCTAGCAACAGGAAAGGGATGGTGATATAGTTCTAAGTCAGGTAACACATGAATGGAGGGGACCTTGCAGGCTGTGGCATCCCCATGTATTTGTTGCCCTGGGTGGTGGACATCAAGGATTTGGAAGATGGTGTCAAAGGAACCTTGGTGAGCTACGCATTACACCTTGTAGATGGTACACACTACTACCATTGTGTGTTTGAGGCGAAGGGAGTAAAAAGTGAAGGAGGTGGATGGGGAGCCAATCAAGTGGATGGTGTTGAGCTTCTTGACTGTTTTTGGAGCTATACTCATTGAGGTAACTAGTGAACACTCTCCCCAGTTATATTTAAAGAAGCCTTCAATATGCTGCACAACTGCAGGAGATTGATTTGAACAAATGGTTCTAGTGGCTAAATTCACAAAAAACCAATGGTTATTTTCTTGCATTAATAAGTACAAGTGACCATAGAGCTACGCAAGTGTCATGCTTGAGGCTGCATGAGATGATACACTATTTAGATAGAAGTTTTTAAAATATGATTTCTATTCATTGATTGCATTGTAAAGATCTGTACTGAGGCTAGGTGCTGTTCGAAGGTCAAATAAATCAGTTTTTGGAAGACACAGTACAACCAGAAATCAACTGGGGCCTAGCTACACTTTGATCATTCGACAAGATTCCCGGCATTTGTTATTTTTGAATAAATCCTCTATGATGAGTTTTGCAGTAATTGTGCTACAAATATTAAAATATTCATATGAACCTTAAGATGTAAATGGTGTTAAGAGCCTCTGCTAACAAAACAAAAATTAATCCAAGCTGGAAAGCCACGATTATGGTTTTTATATAGGAAAAATAAGTGCGTGATTTCAAGGCTTTATTTTAAAGTTTGCAACTCATAAGATGTTAAGTGAATTATCTTTGGTTGTCATGCTTCGATCAGATAACCTTGCACGGGATCACAAAGAATGAATGTTCTTCAATTACCACATGCATGATAATCCACTGTGAGAAACAAAATCAGGGGAATTTTAAAATGAACTCCGCAGGCGAAAATGCAGTAATTGTAATCAAAAATGGAGAAAATCTATGGATTTAAAAAGATGAGATATTAAAACCAATGAATTAAGTTAACATTCAATTGGCCAGATTTGAAAACTTGCTTGATAACCTGAGAGATTTAGTACTCAATTATATTGTGATATCTTTAATATTACTTAATTCGGTTTGTCTATGGCAAATCATAATTGTTTCATTAATACACAAATAATTGCTGAATGCAAACTGAACTGAAAGCCAATGACAGAACTGTTTGCTTACCTATGATGAACAGAATTTCCACTGAAATGTCACTAACTGTTGTGCTTCTTGCTGAAGGCAAGTTTTCATCGATTCCAATAAAACAAACATTATATGGTACAGTCACAGCAACATAAAACGTTGCCAATAATATTAGCCAGTCCCATAATGCTTTAAAAGTGCTGTAATGCAAAAGGATGAATTTTGACTTTTTTGCATCTGCAACCTTGTATTCTGGTAGTGCTGGTTGGTTCCTAAACACATTCTGTGGAGGAATAACATTTTTAAATGTAAATATTAGACATCACATATTGCAATTTATTACTAATTGAATTATAACTATTTCTACTTCTACTATGTAAAACTATTATATCAATTACCACCTCTTCACATTGTTCAAAAGTGTAACATGAAAATAATTTTCCATAAATTTCTCGCAGCAAAAATTACAGGAAATTAAAATGTTATTACAAGTTCACAGATTCTTAGCCTTCTGATGAGCTGAATCATTACTATCACATCAAAATTGGACAAATTATATACAGTTCTAACAGGAACCAGTTGATATTGAGCATTCAAATATTATGGGGCTAAATATTTCTAGTCTGTAGCCTTTTGTCATAACACGAGTGAAAAATAAGCTGGGCTACAGTTACGTTGAGAGAGATGGGGATGGCTGAAATGCCCTGGATTTATTCTACTAGACTTGCGGCCTGTGCACTAAAGATTAATGTAGGTGCAACCTACCCATGTACAAATTAAATAAACTCACACTGAACTTGCATGTTTCAGCACAATCAACATTCCTGAACTGCTGATGAGTGAATTCATGGTGTATTGGCATGTGTCATCCACATACTTAAAATTCAAGTATGCGCTGTACATGATTGATCGAGGTTATATTCAGAAATAGAATCAGTGTACATATCCAAATTTCTGACATGTCTACAGGTAGACAAACTTGCTGATGAGAACAGTAAGTCAGATAGGGATCTTTTTTACTTTTAGGTCTTGACCAGGAGTTTAGTTCCGATGAAAGACAATTGACCCATATGGTTTCAGAGATAGTAAGCACTTCAGATGCTGGACAATCTGAGATAACAAGGTGTAGAGCTGGATGAATACAACAGGCCAAGCAGCATCATTTTCTGAAGAAACGTCAGCCCTCCTGCTCCTCTGATGCTGCTTGGCCTGCTGTGTTCATCCAGCTCTACACCTTGTTATCTCTGTTGACCCATATGGTTATTCCGTTTCTCTCCAATGATGCTGCCAGGCTCGCTGACTATTTCCACCATGATCTGACTTATTTGGGAGTTTGGCCCATTATTCTTCACTTCCTGGGCGATATATTTCAGCAATAATTTAATATTTAACCAACAGCTTCAGAATGACCTTTGTGACGGTTCTTGTGAAAATGTTGACAATCACTTTGGTGCAATAGGGGCTGATTTTCTAAGATTCATATCAAAAGATGTACAAGTAGGATTTCTCTCGATAATCCACAGTAATTTCAGTTTGAGGAAGGTGGAAACAGGAGAGAAACAATATAAATGGTAAAAATGGGTCACAGTTTAAGAATATGGGGTAGGTCACTTACGGCTGTGATGAGGAGAAATTTCTTCACTTGGAGAATAGTGAGTAGAATTCACTGCCACAGAAAGCAGTTAAGGCCAAAACATTGAATGTTTTCAAGAAGGAGATAAATATCACTATTAGGGCTAACAGCATCAAAGGGAGAAAGTGGGAACAAGGTACTGAGTTGGATGATTAGCCATGTTCATATTGAAAGGTGGAGCAGGCTTAAAGGGCCCAATGGCCTTCTTCTGGTCCTATGTTTTTTTTTCTAAAATGTATAAATGGTAATTTCACTAAGATTTTCACCAATCTTCAGTTACAGTGAGAGATGAGGGAACCCCCAACCAACATCCCCTGTCACCAACCTCCACTCCATGGAAATCCTTCTCAATTTCTCAAAAAGTGTAAAATGAGTTTTATCACAAAATTATTCTGCTTCTGACATTGAACACAGCAGTTTGCTTTTCTACCATTGAGACAATTCACCCAAATAAAAATAAACACATTCTGATCAATATAACTTTGTGATAAATGTTTGTTGAAATTAAAATTACCCTATGGTGGTGGAAAACAAACTTTCAAGCCTTTTGAGCGGTTAAAAAATATTACTGCCATGCTAAAACCTTTAAACAGAACAAAGAACAAAGAATAATGCAGCACAGGAACAGGACCTTCAGCCCTCCAAGCCTGTGCTGACAGATTTTGCTGTTCCATACTAAAACCGTCTTCGCTTACAGGATCCATATCCCTCTATTCCCTTTCTATTTGTGTATTCGTCCAGGTGCTTCTTGAAGGGGTGAGTAACATGAAAAAACAATTAGGTTATCAGGTGATAGGTGAATTTAAATATGGAACACCTCCCTACAGCCAATCAACGTGCAAAAGAATTAAGAGGGTAGGCAATAATTTTCAAATTCTTACTTCTATCTTTAGAAGGCAAACATAATTCAGCAATAAATTATGAGCCATTGCCCTAGGTTCAGAGCTGTGATTTGGACAGGTGTATCAATGTATGCACATTTACTTGCGGTATGAATACAATGCTTAAAAAAAAGGGTTCAAACTTCTGTTGTATCTACTCCTGGTTCAGAACAGTAACATCGACTGTAAACTTACATAGTGTGAGCACACAGTTAGGTTACACTAGCATAGTGATTACGATGTTGGAAAAGTACTTCAATGGACTAACTATCTACTAGGTTGCATGCTCAACATCTCCCACTTCAGTTTGAGAAATGGAATTCAGTTTTAAAAACCTGCAAACAATTTCTAAAGTTAACCATTAAACTGTTAGATTATCATAAAATCTCAACTGATTCATTAATTAATGGCACATTTGTCACTTCAGTTTCAGACTAATCTGATGTTGCTTATTAAACTACTTAGTCATATAAAAAAAAGGAACAGCTTTGTAGGAGCCTTACGAGACAAACAGCATGGGTTCAGAAACTCAGAAAGTGGTCAATGAGTGCTGGTCTCACCAGCAAATGCCACATCCCATGAATGAGTTCTTTCAAAAAAATTCTCTTGATTTACATTAATGAGTCATGGGCCAGAAGTGTGGAATTTTAATTTAGGACTCAAGTGTCCAGCACAGAACATAAGAATCTTCACCTGAGAAGGTCACAACTTTGGTCTAGTCACTTCAAATTTCAGAGTTACCATTCTGGTAAATGCATTATAATCGTTATTGGAATGACCCTTTTTAATCTCCAGCACACCACACTGCAAAATTAGGATCAGAATTTCCCACACAGGACTTTAAGCATACCATGAATATACTAATGAAGTAAAAACAAACTAGTTATTCAAAGGATTTCAATACTTATATCATTTAAAGCCACCAGGCACCTACCCCAAACAAACCTCACTTCCTTTAGCTCCCTACTGTCAGGCTGAGTCATCAAATACCTTGCTTAATTTTGTCCAAATCAGTCACAGGTATTACAAATAAAGAGGATTTGTGAAATCCTCATTCTTACATTTATCATGATCTTTTACCACAAATTCACGAAACTTGCAAGGGAAACCACTGAATATCAAAGACACAGCAGTTTTGTGGTAGTATAAATTGTTACCCTCTATAGATATATGTTATTGACCTTCTGAAAGAACAAGTATTCAATTTAAATAAAAATAATCTGTTGACCATTCTGCAAGTTGCTTTTTGTGCATGGTAATGTCAAAGTCAACAAAGTAGCAATAACCAACCCCCACCACCCCCTGAGGAAGTCAACAAAATAGTGACCCTTCAAACAAAAAAACATACTTAGATCAGCTCAAATCAGTGGAGCTATTCTGCCAGGTCAATTTATAAATTGCCAAGTCTGTATGTTCAAAATGAATTAAAGGTTTCTACTGGGATCTAGCTATTAATAGCTGAGCTAAACAAGCAGCTGCTGAACAAACTGTTTTTAGGAAGGTCGGTGTTTATGGGCAGCATAACAATTTAGCGAATTTGACAATTCTGACAAGCATATCACCAGAATACATGTTACAATGTTATATGGGCTCTTGACTCTAATTGTAGTAAAATATTGTATCAATTACAAGACTTGCTTGATTTAGCAGCAGAGTAAATTTCAAGTTCATTCGAATTCTTCATATACTTACATTATTAATCTTCAGCTTGCTTTTCTCTTGCTTTTGTAGGTGACCAGAGATGTGATAAAGGACGGCTCGACTTCGTCGACGAGCTGAACTGAAGTGTGTTCCTGCTTTCCCTCTTCCTTTGTATTTTTCTATTTATGAAATCAAATATTTCATTGGTTGACTGACCTTCATAAAACCTTTTTTTTAAACCAGCTCCAGAAAGGCTTATTCTTGTGTGTACATTGGAACATTCCCTCATTTGGATTAAGTATAACTCAACAAAATTTAATTAGAATTTGAGCTGATTTAAAACATATTGATTAACCTATAATCCGAATCGTGTCTAAAAGCCAACAATATCAGCAAACATTTTTCAGGAAATTTAATGAGCCCAAAACTTGATACAAATTACTTAACTTCTATCAAATTTAGCACAGGACATGTAAACCTTACTGACTGTTATCAGGCAGCCAATAAAGGATTCAATGGGCTCTTCATATTTTAGCCAGTACACAAACTAATTACGTAAAAAGGGGCAGTTAATCTCTGGCTCCATGTTAATGGACTAATTTTAGCTGTTGGATTTGTTCCAAAAATTCTGCTTGAAGATCATTATTTGTGACTTTGAAGGTCTGTTAATACTTGTTAGCTACATAACAAGGCATCACTTAAAAATGAAACATGCAAATCTAAGACTTAAACCTGGAGTTAACTCATTGCCGCATTGTTATTTTCATCTAAAATGTTTTTTTTAAAAGCTAGCTCGAGGCTGCTGACAGGTTGTATAAGAAGCAGACTAGGGAGCATTGCAGAAAAACAGAAGATTTGTTAGTGAACTCCACATGATAGGTTTAAGGGAAGAACTTGCATTAATCTTACACGTTATCCCAGGATGTCCCAAAACTTTACATACATATAAATACTTCTTCAAATATTGTGACTTTTGTTAGGCATCAAAATCCTTTGATGTTTTGGACAAGGAAAAGCAGGAGGTGTTAGGGTGATTTTGGAAGGTAAGTATATTGTTTGCCAACCATGGTCAGTATTGAAGGGAAATGTCAGGTAGATAAGGTAGGGAGGGGGAAGCTGGTGGGAGTTATTATTGCTTAATTGTCACAGTTATGTTTTGAGATATTCAGAGGCTTGATAAACACAGCTTGTTGGAAACAATCATGGAATTTGTGGTTGCAAAACAGTCAGAGTGTAAAGGGACCTTTCAGTGAAGACTCCCACAGAGAGTCTGTTCTGCTGGAACCAGGAGTTAACAATGATTTTCAGTGGAGGAATTGACCAGTAAGCAAGCTCACTAAAAGTCAAGTTGGATGGGGTGGTGCGCGGATGCTGAAGGGCTCTTATAACTTACATTGCCTCATTTGAAGGAGTTTAAAAATGCTCTGGTGACTTGTTTCACACTGTGGCTGCTGTGGGATGAGAGATGAAAGGGGTTGCAATTTGAAATAGTTCAGTCAACTTGCTCAGATCAGTGTGTCCTTTGTAATCTTTAGGCCTATTTTTGAAAAAAAACTTGCTAGGGAAGAGTTTACTTATTACTGGAAGTTGACCCAAAATTTAGGCAAACAGCGTTTTAGTATACATTCTTCCCACTGTAAACAGTTAAAGGTTCATAAATATGTGTGAATCATGGTTAACTGATTTTGTCAGCACTTTCAATGTCATTTTGTGTCAATCAATGCAGCTATTGCTGACTCTTCTTCAAATTACTACATGCCATAAATGGTATTGGTTGAGAGTTTTATACAACTGGTTCTTTTGCTGCAGTCAGAGTAGTTTTTTGCCAATATTCTTTAAAGTCTCTCGAATATTTTAAACTCGTCCATTATTTCATCTTCATTCAGCTGCGTGTGCTGATAAAACATCACCTGGGACTTACTGTATACATAGCACTAATAGGTTGAATTGTTTCCCATACACTAAATTCTTGCACTTGGTAAGAACAATATCAGCACCAGCTGCATCTACAACTGCCTCAGCATTTTCAGCCCCTCAGTCTGCCAATTCTTGTAATCCATGTAGAGACCTGGCTTCTTTTTAGCTGTTAATTAAGAGAAGATGCAACCTCAAGTTTGTCCCATTTTATGTTAATGCTTCTGTAATTTCATTGTACATTGTGTGCCATTTTTGTAGTTTGCTGAGAATTTTATAGAAATAATTTTAAAAAGTTTGAAAATGAGGCAAGTGACTTCACCACATCTGTCAGTACTAACTCTTTCATTAGAGCTAGCCCTTCAAAATCTGTTTAATTTCCCATATTCTGTATTCAACAAATAAGCTCAAAGATGTGTAGAGTTGTTGTAATTTTGAGGCTTAACATTGAACTTTTTAATTTTAAGTGAAATTATGTCCAATAACATAAAGCAGATGCTACAGTGCAGGTTACAGAAAAAAGAAGTGTTATACCACAGCAATCATACTGTACTGTTAAATTAATTGAAAAGAGCATGTACAATAAAATTGATTAGACATTTGGTAGCATAAAACAGATTTTGTTAACTTTTCATTTTGCACCCATCAGGACAATTCACAAAAATACAAATTCAGGCAAAACCAATATTAAATACCATATCAGAGGTCACATTGATTGATTGGCATGTGGATTCTGAAAGGTAGGAACATTGGCATAGCAAATGCACCATTTGAAAATACTGCCAGGCTTTTGTTTAAATTTTAAACATGATAGCTTGGCTCCGATTAGTCAGGGCATTGCCCTGAAAAATGAACCAGCAAATGATTATCACCTATTTTGTAGAGTTGAGAGAGTCACAGTGCACATACATATTCTTTCTGTCTACATAGAGCAGAGCCCTGTACATTAATATTTGCAGGTTCCTGTATATGCAGCACCACACTGTGAACCAGACCGACAATCCCAAATTGGTTGTCTGCGTAATCATAGAGTCATATGGCATGGACACGTGCCCTTCGGTCTAACTCATCCATGCTGACCAGGTTTCCTAAACTGAACTAGTCCCAGTGGCCTGCATTTGGCCCATTTCTCTTTAACCTTTCCCATCCACATACCTGTCCAAATGTCTTTTAAATGTTGTAACTGTACTTGCATCTATCACATCTCCTGGCAGCTTGTTCCATATACGTACCACACTCCGTGTGAAAAAGTTGCCCCTCCGGTCCATTTTAAATCTTTCCTCTCTCAACCTAAATCTTTGCCCTCTATTTTTGGACTCTCCTGCACTGGGGAAAAGACCCTGGCTATTCTTTGCACACTTAGGATTATGCTACAAATTTTGTCCAATTGTGGGATAACACCCAATGTTGGACACTGTGTTGTGGATTTTGCATGCAAGGGCCAGTTGAGAGTAAATACCTTGCATGTTACTACAGCAAAAATGAAATAAATTCTTAACCAGTGGTTAGTACAAAGATTTCAACGATTAACCAGTGTCTCCATGTCTCCATTGCAAGATCATTTAAAATCAATTTAATCCCTGAAGGTTAGAGTATCCAGGGCTTGAATTTTGTCTTCTAGCCCCAAGTCACCAATTGACAAGAGCATGGCAGATTCACTTTAATCCACAGTATGTGAGGAACATGAATCTGTCACAACAAAAAGTTGCTGGAAAAGCTCAGCAGGTCTGGCAGCATCTGTGGAGAAGAAAACAGAATTAACAGAATTCTGAGGAAGGGTCACCGGACCCGAAACGTTAACTCTGTTTTCTCCTTCACAGATGCTGCCAGGCCTGCTGAGCTTTTCCAGCAACTTTGTTTTTGTTCCTGATTTACAGCATCCGCAGTTCTTTTGGTTTTTACCTGAATCTGTCATTTGGTCTGAGAGACACATGGTCATCAGTCCTATGTCACATTGCCAGGGAGATAACGTGGGACCTCAACAGTTGCATTCTACTTGGCTTGTTGGTAACGGACAAGAGGAGAAGTGAGAATTCACAGGACCGTGATCATTACTGGTCTCAGCACTCTATTAGCTTTAATAACAAACTACTAAGCTCCCAGTGACCATCCGCAAACCACATTCAATAACCACACAATGGCCATTCAGTAACACACAGTGACCATTCACTAACCTCACAGTGACTGTTCACCAATCTCATCATGACCATCCACTGACCTCACAGTGACCACCCACCAACCAAACATTGACCATCCATAGTGACATTCTACCAACATTGGTAACCATCCACAAATTTAAACATAACTGAGTCAAGATGAATACTGAGCCTGAAATGTGTTCGTGCATGAACAAAGAACAACAGGAGGCAACTAGGCCCTTCAAGCCTGCTCCACCATTCAATGTGAACATCCCTAGATTTTTTAAGATTCAATTTTTAACCATCTCCTGTTTCAAACCATTTAGGCAGTAACACATGGGTTAATTCCAATTCTGACACCATTTAGCATTTCAAGTTCATAAATGAGAAAAGCTTCAAAGTAAATATGCTATTTTCTAGGGAACCATCTTAAGTTGATGCTGTGTTATGTCTATCTTCTCCTTGCACTTGCTCATAAAATAAGTGTCAAGACACCACTCACAACACAAGAACGATTGATTAGTAGTGGTATTACAAACTTAAAGAGCTGGTATATGTCTGAGTTGTTAGTTTCCTCAGAACAAATTATGACTAAATCTGAATCGTATGATTCATCATATCATTTCCCCTGAAGTGATGTATGCAGAAAACATTATGTCATCCACTTGAAGATATACTATATTTCCATTTCTTAAAATAAATAACTTCCTTTTATCAATAATCATAATTATATGCTTACTTTAACATTACAGAGTTGTAGCAGTCTCCTGGTTGCTAAAACACAGATTGCCAACTTGGCTGAACAGCAAGGGATGCTGGATACATTGGCCAAGTGAACTCTGAAATCACAAAATCCACACACCAGACACAGTGCAAACACAGCAGCCAGGTGCTAATGACATTAGAATAACGTAAAGGGCAACAGATAGTCTGCACAGACACCCCTAACATCTTATCCACTAAACAAAGGGAGTAGCAAGAACTGCAGATGCTACAACATAGAACATAGAACAGTACAGCACAGTACAGGACCTTCGGCCCACGATGTTGTGCTGAACTTTTACCCTAATCCTAAGGTCTATCTAACCTCCACCCCTACCTTATGCTGGAGTTGACTCTGGGCAGCC